CCGCCCCCCAGCCCTGGCCGGCTGCCATCTGCACTCCTGTGTCCAAAACCCCCTACTCGAGTCTCATATCCCACATTGTTACAACCTTTTGGTTGCAAGTGACAGAAACTGCAACCGAAACCAGCTTTTTTCTGTACATGGGAATTTTTTGTTCACGGTACGGAAAGGTCCAGGGATAGACCTAGCACTGGGCTCTCCCCGCCGGCCCCGCTGACATTTGGGGCCAGGTGGTTCCTTGTGTTGAGCAGCCCTCCGGGTCCCCGCCCACCGGACACCAGGAGACCCCTGGCGTGACGGCCACAGATGAGACCAGCTGATCCAGCAGGCACGGCCAGATCCAGCACCTTCTGGGAGTGCCTCAAAGACTGACGCAAGCCGGCACCCTAGGCTCCTTCCCACGCCTCTGGAGAGCAGCTCAAGGCTTGAACGTGAGGGAGAATATAGCACCTCGAGAGGCACAGTCCAGCCCGTCGCCTTCTTGGTGCAGACCGCGTGGCACTGAAACCTTTATGTTTTGTCTCCCTTCTCTTTTAATGTTTATTTCTTTCTTTAATGTTATTTACGTATGTATGTATGTATGTATTTTTAGTTTTGAGAGACAGAGGGGGGGCGCGGGAGGGCCAGAGAGCGAGAGGCAGACAGAGAGAGGGAGACACAGAATCGGAAGCCGGCTCCAGGCTCCGAGCCGTCAGCACAGAGCCCGACGCGGGGCTGGAACTCACGCGAGATCACGCGAGATCTCGCGAGATCGTGACCTGGCCGAAGTCGGACGCTCAACCGACTGCGCCACCCAGGCACCCCTCCTTTCTGTGTTTTAAAGTGAGCTCCACGCCCAAAGCGGAGCTTGAACTCACGACCCTGAGATCTAGGGTCACGTGCTCTACCCACTGAGCCAGCCGGGCGCCCCGAGATGTTTGCGTTTATGTGGCTGAAAACATTTCAGGAGAAGGGTTGTTTTGCGACACGCGAAGCGATACGACATCGGTGTCAATAAAGTTTTCTTGGCACAGACACGCGCGGGCATTTGCGTATTGCCTGAGGCTGTTTTCCTGTCCCCGCAGCAGGGCGGAGCGGTTGTGACAGAGACTGTTGGGCCCGTACAGCTGAACACACTTGACCTCTGGTCCCTCACAGGACAGGTCAGCTGACCCCTGCTCTTATGTCCCTGGACAATGACACAGGGACCTCTCCGAGCCCAGGAGTCTCCCTTGTTGACCGGAGGATGGTGAGAGGGAGGAAGGACCTCAGCCTGGAGGCCAGCCAGCAGTGAACTTTGAGTGTCAGCGTGTGTGTCAACCATGATCATTTCGGTCACCCCTCGGGTAGCCTGGAGGGGGTGCTTCGTCGGCTTCCGGAGGCAGGTGGGAGAAGGCAGGACCGGTCTTCAGCGGGCTGCGGTGGCCGTGTCCCGCACCTTGAATTCGTGGGGTGACGTGTGTGCCCGGGTGGGGGTGCTTAGCCGGGAGCCTCAGGGGAGGAGCTCTTGAGGGGGTGACAGTTCAGCTGCAGCCGGGACCCTCTCTCTCTCAGAAAATGAGCCTTTAGAAAAATTTTTTTAAGTTCCTTAAAAAAAAAAATTACAAATAAAAAATAATGTGTCACCCGTCGGAATGGTCCAACGGAACCCCCGAAACGGACAAAACCAAGTGCCGGCGAGGACGCAGGACGCCCAGAACTCTCGAACGTTGCCAGTGGGGGTGCGGCCCTTCTGGAGGACGGTTTGCTCAGAACGGCCGTGGGATCCGGCCATCCCAGCCCTAGGCGTCACCCGAGAGAAATGGAAGTTTCTGTCCCTACGAAAACCTGCACACACGTGTTCACCGCCGCACGACTCACAGTCGCCAAAAACAGAAAACCACCCAAGTGGGCGAAAGAGACGCGGCCCGTCCATACAAGGGCGTTCCAGGAGCGCAGGGACAACATGTCTCTAAGGGTCGCAAGAACGCGAATGGATCTCAAGTGAAGTACGCCTTGCCGTGTGACCCCATTTATGTGACACCCGGAAAAGACCGAGTTACAAGGGGCAAAACTCGATCCTTTCCTGGGAGGGAAGGCAGAGGGAAGCGATGACCCCCACAAAGGCGTGTGAGGGGGGTTCGGGAGGGAAGAAAAGATTTTATTCCTCAAGTACCGTGGTGATTACATGCTTTCGTCGAGATTCATCAAACTGCCCACCTCGCCATTCTCAGGAAGCTTCTGTGTTAGTGTCCTAGGACGGCTGAGACCAATGACCGCTCACTGGGTGACCTAAGCAAGAGAAATTCATCCGCTCCCCATTCTGGAGCCAGGTGTGGGGGGCCGAGCTCCTTCCAGAGGCTCCAGGAGGCCCTTCCCCTTTCCTCCAGCATCTGGGGGCTCCAGGCAGCCGAGAATCCCTCCATCACAGCCTCCATCGATACCTGGTCCTCTCTGTCAAGTGTCCCCTGTGTGTGTCTTATAAGGACAATTGTCATTAGATCTAGGGCCCACTTAAGTAATCCAGGATGATCTCATCTCAAGATCCCTAGCTTGGTGACAACAGTGAGTGAGGTCACATTCACAGGCTCTGGGAAGTTGGATGGGGAAACCTCCTTCAGGGACCACCATTCAACCCAATAAACCCTGCCTAAGTTAAGAACACTTAAGGGGCCACCTTAGGACACTTTCTCCCAAACACTTCAGATGTACATTCTGCCTGGGAATGTTTGAAGCAGAATCCTAGACTCATAGCCTTTCAGCCATAAATGCTTCGGCGTGTATCTCTAAAGCAGATTGTCAACTGGGGACAGTTCTGCTCCAGGGGACCCCAGGCGATGTCTGGCGACACTTGCGGTCAGGACTGGGGGAATCGCTTGAGTGGGGGCTGGGGACGCTGCTCAACCCCTGCAGTGCCCAGGACCCCCAGAGAGGATGGCAGCAGCCCCCCAGTGTCCACAGAGCCGGGGGAAGGGGGACAGTCAACTGTAGGCGTGTGACGGTGGGCGTCCCTGCCCTGTCTGTGACCAGGTGTGTAACAAGGTCCAATAAGGGTGACAATGATGGTCCAGAGTGTCACCACCCTGAGGGATCATGTGTGGGCTTCCAACCCTGTGGTTTTGACACCTCATTCACACACACACACACACACACACACACACACGCGCGCGCGCGCAGCCCAGAATGCATGGCTGCAGCGCCCGCCCGCCGCCGGGGGGCGGCAGACACGCCCACACGCCCCGCCCCCCCCCCGCCCCGATCCCAGCCACCCCCTAACCTGGAACCATGGCTGGATTCCCAGTGGGGGTTCACCTCAGTTTGGAAGGACCCCTCTGGCTCCTGGGCCCTTATTCGATGGATATGGGGCTGAGCGGGGTCCATGGAGAGGAAGGGGCTAGGGTCAGGAGCCTGACATGTAGGGTTCCCGTTGAGTGGGTGGAGACCTGGGATGGAGCGCCAGCTGGTCGTGTGCCCAGGAGGACCGCGGGCTTCCTCTGTCCTCCATTTGGGGGGGGGGGTAAAGGGAGGATGTCAGAGGGTCAGCGGGGGCTGCAAGGGGGCCAACTGGGCACGTGTTTGTGTGTAGGGGGGTCATGGGGTGGGCAGGAGAAATGAGGGGTGTGAGGGAGAGATCGTGGGAGGAGAGGAAGGCCTGAGCCCCGGAGGAGCTGGTGGGCCCTGGCCTATAGCTTGGGGTCCCTGCCTGTTGTCTGGGGCCCTCTGCCATTACCCGGGGGTACCATTTATAATCTGGAGCTCTTACCTGTAAGCCAGGGCCCCTGTGCGTAAACCAAAGCCCTCCACTTATAATCTGAGGCTGCCTTTCAATAACCTGGGGTCCCCCACCTGTAACTTGGGGATCTTTATCTGTAATATGGGGCCCTCCATAACCTTGCCCCCCACCTACAACCTAGAGCCTCCACATATAGCCTGGGGTCTCCTACTATAACCTGCCTCCCCACCCCCATAACCTGGAGTCCCAGATCCGCTGTGGACCTGGACAGGTGGCTTCCTTCCGGTAAGCCTCAATCAGTTCACCTGTCATAGAACATTCCATCACCCGAAAAGCAACCGGTCCCCATCAAGAGTCACTCCCCACTCCTCCCCTCCAGCCCCCACGAGCCCCCTTCCCGTCCGTGGATGGGCCTGTTCAGGACATTTCACCCACGTGGACTCACACCCCGCGTGGCCTCTCGTGTCGGGTTCCCTCCCTGAGCGTCGTGTGTCCGGGGTCCGTCCTGGGGGCGGCGGGGGTGGGCGCCTCGCTCCTGCTCACGGCCGAGTGACGTGCGCATGCTCGGGGGACACGTTGTGTTTATATGTTCATCTGTGGATGGATATTTTGTTTTTTTACCCCAGTTTTGGCTGTCGTGAATCCTGCTGCTGTGAACACACAGCGTACAAGTTTGGACCTGTGTGTGCTAACCCAGGATAAGAGTAGCTGGGCCGCATGGAAACACTGTTTTTAACCTTTTGGCTTTTTCCAAAGTGGCTGCACCATCTGTACGAGATTTCCAGTGTCTCCACATCCTTGCCAACACTTATTGTCCATTGTTTTTAAAATTTTTTTAAATGCTGGGGCGCCTGGGTGGCTCAGTCAGTTAAGTGGCCGACTTCGGCTCAGGTCATGATCTCGCGGTCTGTGAGTTCAAGCCCCGCGTCGGGCTCTGTGCTGACAGCTCAGAGCCTGGAGCCTGTTTCAGATTCTGTGTCTCCCTCTCTCTGACCCTCCCCTGTTCATGCTCTGTCTCAAAAATAAATAAAACGTTAAAAAAATAAAAAATAAAAAATAACGTTTTAAATGTTTATTTTGAGAGAGAGAAAGAGAGTGAGAGGGGGAGGGGCAGAGAAAGGGAGACACAGAATCTGAGGCAGGCTCCAGGTTCCCAGCCGTCACCACAGGGCCCGATGACGTGGGGCTCAAACTCACCAGCTGTGAGATCATGACCTGAGCTGAAGTCAGATGCTTAACTGACTGAGCCACCCAGGCGCCCCTCATGGTGACGAGTTTTGGAAAGAAAATCAAGGTGAGACCACCACCTGAGCTGAACTCAAGTGTCGGAGGCTTAACCAACTGAGCTACCCAGGCGCCCTGCTTTTTTTTTTTTTTTTTTTAATTTTTTTTTTCAACGTTTATTTATTTTTGGGACAGAGAGAGACAGAGCATGAACGGGGGAGGGGCAGAGAGAGAGGGAGACACAGAATCGGAAACAGGCTCCAGGCTCTGAGCCATCAGCCCAGAGCCCGACGCGGGGCTCGAACTCCCGGACCACGAGATCGTGACCTGGCTGAAGTCGGACGCCTAACCGACTGCGCCACCCAGGCGCCCTGGCGCCCTGCTTTTTAATATCTTTAGGGTCTGTAGTGGTATCCCTTCTTTGATTCCTGGTATGGGTCATCTTTTATTCTTGGTGAACGTGGAGTTTTGTCGTTAAAAAAAAAAAAAATCTTTTCAAGGAACAATCTTTTGGCTTCATCTATTTTCCCTATTTGTTTTCTATTGTATTTCACTGGCTTCTGCTCTGGTATGTAGGATTCCCTTCTCAGCAGAATTTTGGGGTTTGCTGGTCCTGCCAATGTGGCGCGTGACCCCTTCCCTGCAGAGTCACATCAGTCCCCCTCCGTGGGTGCCGGAGACGGTGAAGACACTCATGGGGCATGTCCAACCACCACTCTCGGGCACACCAAGTTTGCACAGAGGCTCAGGGCGTTCACAGGTCGCCAGCCTGGAGTCCCAATCTGATGGCGCTGCTCCCCTAGGTCCCACTTTTCTGGCTGTCGTGAACCAGGAGGGTCACACCAGATGAGATGAACAGTTTGTGCAGAGCTAAGAATACAGTGCTGGGCAACGGAAGGGAGGTATTTTCAACCTCATCCGCCCACTTTGTCCACTCTGTACCCTCAGCACTCTGCTGGCACCTGGGCCGCTGCTTTCCCGCAGTGGGTCCCCTCTGGGTGCAGAGACTCTGCAAGGGTCTCCGGCCTGGAACGTTCCACTTTGGGCCACTCAGAAAGAAAACTTTTTTTTTTTTTTTAATGTTTATTTTTGGG